GCATGCCACCAGGCGGTAAATAATTTCACTTGGAGTCGTGGCAGTGCTATAACCTGTTTCTATATATATATATATATATATATATATATATATATATATATATATATATATATATATATATATATATATATATATATATATATATATATATAAACAAAACAACAAATTTCAATCTTAAAATTTTATTTCATCGCTGCACAGTGTTTCACGTACATCGTACAATCAACAGGCGTATATATATATAACAATTATTGAATGAGGATGAGCACGATATGAAGAATTATCAAGCCCGAAGTTTGCCGTTATCAACCGAAGCCGAAGGCTGAGGTTGACAACGGTAAACTGAGGGCTTGATAATTCTTCATATTGTGCAAAAACCGAATTCAATAATTGTTTTATTATTTATTTAAAAATTCAAAACAAACGGTCATCTATTTGGTCGCCCGCGTTAATCAGCCAATCAAGAATTAGGAAAAGTGTTAATCTTACCTATTCTAGAAGCTTCTGCTGATCTTTTTGTATTTAACGAGTCTGTATCTTCCTGTAATTTTTGAATTTCAGTTTCGCCAAGGTTGACGAACCTTTTAGTGGAAGAAGCCATTTGTATTTTATTTGTATTAAGAAAAAAACAACAATTCCTTAGTCCTTCGGCAGCTGTCGTTGCGTCATATTAATGGCGTCAGCGAGTCAATATGATTCTCGTCGACATAGTAATATTGGGCAAACGCGTCCAAATTTTTTTCATATTGATTCTTTGACGTCATTTTTCTAATATGAATGTGAAAAATCCGTATTTGGTTAGCCACTGAGTTGATATGACAACTTCACAGTTGGCTGTTAGCCAATCAGAACCCAGGATTTTTTAAATAAATTAAATAAATATGTATATATATATATATATATATATATATATATATATATATATATATATATATATATATATATATATATATATATATTAAGATGAAAATGTTCCAGAGTGTCAGACGGATTTAAGACTGGAAATTATGAAATATATACTGAATGTCATAAACATACTCGTTTATATTAATTCAGCATCGAACAATACTAGTTCTGCAAGTGTTATGTTAGTTGTGTAATTGTACACTCTGTAATATATTAAGATGGAAATGTTCGTTTTTTTCATAATTTCCAGTCTTAAATCCGTCTGACCGTGTAGCTCAGTAGGTAGAGCGTCGATCTAGTAATTCGAAGGTGGCGGGTTCGAGACCCATCCGCGGCAGACAACATCTTTCTGCTTGCGCTGGGTATGGAAATTATATAATACACACTCTAGAACATTTTCATCTTAATATATTATAGAGTGTACAATTACACAACTAACATAACACTTGCAGAACTAGTATTGTTCGATGCTGAATTTATATAAACGAGTATGTTTATGACATTCAGTATATATATTTCATAATTTCCAGTCTTAAATCCGTCTGACCGTGTAGCTCAGTTGGTAGAGCGTCGATCTAGTAATTCGAAGGTCGCGGGTTCAAGACCTATATATATATATATATATATATATATATATATATATATATATATATATATATATATATATATATATATTACGCTCTATCTATATGGTATTGAGCACTGCAGTTTGTGTTTCGTAAACCAAAACCTGTTTATATATATATATATATATATATATATATATATATATATATATATATATATATATATATATATATATATATATATATATATATATATATTGATGTGTGAAACTTGTGGGTCATCTTGCTTCTTTAATTTCCAATTACACAAAGCATGCAAATGAGCTATTTTAGAATAAATTTCGTACGTTTGTTTTGCCGTAGCGACGGACTAAGTGTTACCAAAATCGGCATATTTTGAAAGAAGAAATATTAGAATAGATCAACATTTTGATATTTGCTGCATAAAGCGTAGAAAGTTTGTGAATCGAACCACGTACCTTAAACTCAATAAAATTCTATTAAGGAATAAATTGAATACGAAAGATCTACGTTCACCTAAGCTTTTAACAAATACTTTCAATAAATCGAAACCCACCTTCCTTAGATCCGTCGAAACAAAAGTCCAGCCCATCCCCAAATGTTTGCAAATTCAAAACTACCACAAACCAAAAAGTCAGTACGATTGGAGCAAAACGTAGCGTACGGAGTTTACAAGACTCGCGGCAAATTTCTTTTGCCATGTCTGTTGAACAGGTGTGATGTGAGTTCACTATGTTTCGCTTTTCGAATTTATATTTCTTCAACACCTTTTGGCAAACTGCATCGTTCCAGCTGTAAGGCTCACTCATGAATCGGTGCATTGACTGATATACTGCATTAATTAAGTTTCCAAAGCGGGAGAATGTCGTGCTATAACGGTAACACTACAAGTAGGATATCACAAATGATGTGATAGAAAATTAAGAACAATTATCTTGAATGAGCGCTACAACTAAATATTTAACACGAATCAATAATTAGCATTTCGTAGCCAATAGCAACCTATCTCGAATGTGCAAGAAATATTAGCTTTTTATAATGCGCGCGTCTTGCATACTTATGCATGGTGGCTCGACATAATAATCTATACTAAAACCGCAAACACAAACATACTTTTAGGCATATGCACAAACTCGCGTGGCAAAACAGTTGGAAAATTTTCGTTGCTGACAAATTTATTGCGTGCGTTTTCTTCCTGCCAACCAGATTTTTGAAATCAATCATGTAGAGATAAACAAATAGCCAATATCACCACATATCTGACTAATACTAATAGGTAATCGCATGGGGCCGAACAAAATTTAATAAGATGTACAAGCACTCTTAAAAAAAGGTGTGCTAAAGCAACACACCTTTTATGTCCAGAAAACAACACACCTTTAGGTGTGTTATTCGCTTGTCCAGAAAACAGCACACCTTTAGGTGTCTTTTGAGAAAAGGTGTGTTTGTTAGCACACCTTGGTGTGTTTGTTAGCACGCCTTGGTGTGTTGCTGTAACACACCTTTAAGGTGTGCTGCTGTAACACGCCTGAAGATGTGCTACAGTAACACACCTTTGGGCGTGCTACAGTAACACACCTTAAAGTGTGCTGTTGTAACACAACTTAAGGCGTGCTGCTGTAACGCACCTGATTAACCTAAGAAATCAATAAAGACATTTTTAAGACAAAATAATTTATTATCCCTCTATATACAAGGTATACAGTATTGTAACAGGAAATACGATTTGCTTTAGCATATAATAATATATTCTTACGCTCGATAACATTCTTTGAATGCAGTTCTAAGTTCAAAGTTTGATTGATGTTATCATGGCAGCATGTGTATAATATAATGGATTGCAGGATGTTGCAAATAGCCAATATTAAATATAGGAGACAATCAACAGCCTACTCTAGTAACTAGTAAGGCAATAATAGCAGACTGATAATGGGTTTTTGTAGGTGGATATTTCAAATGGAAACTGTACAGTTAACATGTGTTTCATAGAACTAACTGAGAGCATGTTTCGCTCGCTACTCTGGTTTAAATAAATTATTACAAAGTCCAGTTGAATTGTAATGAAGACCCAACGTTTTGACACTCCAGTCTAATGTCTTCATCAGGGGTGATCTAAAGTTGCAGTTGTTGCTTCTTAAATACCCAAGGGATGACATCCCCTTCCCATGAGATGCATGTAATATTAAGGTGAAGGAGTGTTACAAAAGCACACCTTTCACCAAAAGATGTGCTTAATTTAATAACGTCAAAGGTGTGTTATTTTAAGGTGTGTTATTGAAAAAAGGTGTGCTATTCTGGGCACAAAAAAAGATGTGTTAGTAGAAAAAGGTGTGTTATTGGAGAAAGGTGTGCTATTTTAAAAGGTGTGTTATCTTCCAAAGGTGTGTTATCTTTCAAAGGTGTGTTAATTGAGCACACCTTACCCTTACTCGAAAGGTGTGTTAGATAAAGGTCTGTTACAGGACACACTTTTTGGGTACACCGTGTTCTGCTCAGCACACTTTGGTGTGTTTTGTAGCACATCTTGGTGTGTTTTGTAGCACACATTTGTGTGTTCAGTGACAAGAAAACACACCTTGTGTGCTATTTTAGAACACCTTGTGTGTTAAATAACACACCAAGGTGCGTTGTTTAGCACACCTATTTTTAAGAGTGTAATTTCACGCGTGTTTTCAAAGTTTCACAAGTTGTGAAACTTTGAAAACACAAGTGAAATTAAGCCTTAATTTTACGAGGAACTATGTGATTACTTGTTAAGCATAAAGGGAAAAATTTATTTGTAAGTAAATTGTGAACTGATTAAGTTCTTGAACCTCGTATGTCTCCATGTCTTCGCCGATTTTCCTTAAGGTGGCTCCATACAGTTTTCAAAAATTCAGGTGTTTAACACTTTGACATGTTCAAACTACCCATTTTACGATTTATTCAGCTGATATTGGGTTTTTATATATCGTGATAACTCTACTTTTAAATTATATTAGTTTTACTAACAGATAGTTCGTTACTATGACGATATACGTGTACGAAATCCACTCCAAAATGGCCTATCGTCTCGTATAGTTGGAAAAAAGCATGGTGACCCCCAATTTTTTTCGTGCATTATTTAATTTGGACGAAAAGCTAACAATTTCCAAAATATAAAAAAAAATTCTGTAATGCCATTTCTTGGATAAAGCGAAAATGTCATATTCTTCGGTAAAATTTTTTTGTCATTACAGAATTTTTTTATTTTTTGTATAATGAAAGTATTTAGCGGTGCAATACAGCATGCAAAATTTGAACATAGGTCACCAGACAAAATAAAGAGATATAACGCAATGTTTTTCTAAAAAGGAAAATTCTAATGACGTCAGCAATTGACATAAAACGCTATAGAACACGCGCAATGACGTGATATGGCGCGAGCAACTGCTCACGTCAGGTCATTTTGGAAGTTCTTTCATTTTGTTAATCAGTTTCCGCGACCTGCGCGTAAAAATAGTCACCCGGTTTTGAGTTCGCGATTGTTGAGCAGTGTTTTTGTGATAACCATATCGAGCCACGTTAATCTGCCCATTTCTTAACTCCAACCTATAAATTTGTACTTCTTCTATAGTATTCGAGGTTTCACTAGAAGTTTTAATTATTCAATAACATCATTATCCGCGATAACAAAGCGAGAAGTCATTATTTTTATTGCTATTTAAAACAAGAACGTTCCCGCGCTTGCGTCTTAGCCAATCAGGTACAAGTAATTTTGCCCCGAATTATGAAAAAATGCTCTCATCATTAGCCAAACTTATTCGAGTAATTTTGCCCTCTATATGATTATTACTGTAATTTGCATGGAGAGTAAGTAACCAACACTTAATACGTATAATTTTACAAGTTGCATAAAATAATTTCACTAATAATTCATAAGGGGAAAAGGAAATCACTACCATGTCGGTGGTCCTAATGCGATAAAAAAATCATGTTAACTTACATAAACTTTAACTTTGATTTTTGCGGCCCAGACAACGCTGATTCTGAGATGGGACGTGCCCGAAGCCATTTAAAACACTCGCAGTTCGTGCTTTATCAGATTTAAGACACACCGCTATCACCTTGCGTTTTATATCTGACAAAGCACGCCTGCTCGTGTTCTAAATAACACATAATATGTAAATACCCGAAAAAATACACAGACCAGGAGCCGGCTGTATACGAAGGCGGGATAGCGCTATCCACCGGATAGTAATTCCCCCAAGTCCTGTTAAATCAGCCGCTGATTTCTAGTCATGTAATCATATTATCATATATTCATATAGCCATATAGTCATATAGATAAAGTCATATGGTCATATCTATGTATCTTCTATCTATTTACTTATTTATTAGTTTCGCCATATTACAATACACAAAATGCGGGCCCGAATTAGGACATATAAACATAAAAAACAATCTAAATAAAACTGTAACTAATTACAGCACTTAAGAGGCTGAACCCGGCAGAGTCCGAGCGGTACTACATCTGGTACATATAGTTCTGAATGTTCCCAGATTTTCAGGATCGTAGGAAATTTCCAAAGCACGGAAGTAATAACTTAGAATAGTAACTGATTTAATAGTAGATTCCTATACCGCCCTAGACATGTAGTCATGTAGCTAAATAGTCAGATAGTCATACAGTCACGTAGTCAAAGACCAATTCCGGCTCTATCCCTGGGTTCCACTACGTCATTATGTAGTGAATCCCACCGGGGGTCGACCTCAAATGTTTTGATGCTTATGTTGTACTGGAGTGAGGAAATGGTACGAAATTATATGTATTCGCCACCAAACACGAGGCTAATACATAGAACGAACTATCGACTCACTCCGAACGAATGTGTTTCCTTCCAGCCTCAGTCTGAATAAGTGTGTTTTCCTTTCAACGTTTTAAGAACTCCTTCACTGTATCTAACAGTATAAGTGTATAAATTCTTAACTCTATTTCGTGTCAATTATAGCCTAGAGCTTTTATTGTAAAAATATAATTAGTTCTCTGCATGAAATAATTCAACTGCAAATACCCGTAAGCAATTCAGTTATACCAACTGTAATTTACGATCTGACTAAACCTGCATGTTCCACCTATCCACCTACCTACCCCCCTCCGTCTCTCCTCTGACGTAATATGAAACCCAAGAATTCTGGACAAAATTTACGTACTTACGATCCACACTAACGTTCCCCTATTTGTCGGCCAGGCAAATTCCCTTTCCGTAAGCAATCGAAAGCATCCCAAGCAACCGAAAGCATCCCAGCCCGCTCACATGTATGCAGGCCATGTGTGGGCGGCAAAAAAGGTCACCTCATGTCAGAACATGTCAGTCCCATGGCAACGTGCGGCCTCGGCCCAAAACTCAAGTCATATAAAGCAAATTTCCTGTTGATTTCAAATTAATTCCACCTGAGACTCTAATATCAAATTTAATAATTGAAAAAAGCGTCGTTTTTGAAGACTTCCTTCATGTGAGCTTGTCTGATAACATGGTTTAATGCGAGGTGAGTATTTGTTTATACTGTTTACTGCTAGTGAGCACCTATCTATACCGTACTATCAAGTGTTAATAGTGCGTGCAGTTCATGTGTAAATATATATCTGTAGGCCTGTAGCAAATAGGCTGGCTCACGTGTGGCAGCGAATGGTGGTCAAAGCCAAAACCGTTCACCCGTAATAATACAGAAGCAAGAAAATTAATCTAATCCACCTCCCAACTTACCCAACTTTGCCTTGGTAAAAATATTAAGAAGAAACATCAAACTACTATACATACAAACAAGGCTGGATTTCCGCAACAGCTACAGCCAACTACTGCGGATCCCCCTCCACAATACTCGCTAATTCAGCTAAGCCTACTGAACAGTATAAATGGAAAAGGACTAAATAATAAAATCAATCAATCAATTAATGAACCGTTCAATTGAAGTGTTCAATCAACCAACCAAGAGAGCAAGCAATCAGACACCTACCCATAAAAATATACTTTACCATTGGTAAAAGCAACACCCTCCCATACAATGTAATAGCACGGATATGAAAAAACCTTAAAAAACAGAGTGACTGAAATCCGCACACAATCCAGTTTGAAAATAACCTGAAAGATGCCCGTCCACAGCCGCGATCCGGAATTACCCGGTACGGAAAGGCCCCGGTTTTACCAAAATATAAATAATCAGTTGCGCGAGGTTCAAAAACAACAAGAAGGGGGAACCAGCAGACTTCGAACACAGTTACATCTGACACAGGCTGTCTTCCATGTACGTGGGTCGTCAGGGTCGAAAGTTAAGGAAAGAAGAAAAAAAAAATTAAACTTATCTTCCCCCGTTTGTTTTTCCTTTCACCAAATCTAATACTAATACAGATGTATAAATGGAGAGAATCAACAAAACTCTACCATGAATGCCACGACCACCCAAGTGCTGCTGCCCGGAATTGCCTAGACCCAGTGAAACCCACCTATACGCGAAGTTAATTAACCTATACTAATAACCGGGTATAAAACTCCTACCATACACTTCCCAGTAAACGTACCCCGCTGTTCCCGCCGTACAGACGGACACTGACGAAGCCTTGCAGCTGCAGCCAAAGAGACCGAGAACAGTGTATTATACCCTGGACTCTCAAATGAAGAAGAATTAAAAGCATGTGTCCTAGATCTGATGCCTCTTCAAGAACGAGATACCAAGTCCCTGACAGTACGAGGGACCCCCAGTAAATCCAAGTCTACCTTCCAATGTGCTCTTCCTGAAGATAATTTGGACAAATTCATAGAAGCATACAACAACAAAACCAATGAGACCCTAAAGCCTGTTGTGTCGAAAAAACCCGCAGCCAAAAGTGGCTATGAACTCAATAAGACATTCCGGTGTCACCACAATACAAGGTATAATGGAACAGAAAACCCGGTCCGTGTACTGAGCGAAAAACCAGCAAAGAGGTTCAAGAACATATGCTGCCCCCTCAAAATGACAGTAAAGAAACTTACACAGGACGAAAAGAGTACCTTTAATGTGCTATTAAAGTAGGATTAATGGTGTATTTTATTCGTGTTTAGTCGCACTTAATGCGTTTTATTAAAGAGATTAAAGGTGCGTTTTAACACCTTTAATTCGTTGCATTAAGTGTATTAACGACCACATTAGTACCAAGAGATTAAAGTTCAATAAAGGATACTAAGTGTGCATTTAATTCGGCTGATTAAAGACCGATAAAATGCGGTTAAAGATGTATTTAGTTGCCTTTAATATTGATAGAATTGTTAATTAAAGACAACTTTAATCATACAAAAATGTGTTGCTTATAGGTTAATAAAGGTAAATTTAATCCGTTGATTAAAGACCGCTTAAAGCGATATAAAGAATAAATTCATCACATTTCATACATTGATTAAACTTTGTGTAAGTGCCATTTTAGTCCTATTTAGTCGCCCTGTTATTTTTGCAATAAGTTGCATCGCTTGTGACGTTGGGCTTTTTATTGCGCTTTTTAAATTGAAAATCTCGAATATGTGTCATGCATATTTTCTGGCAATACAGTATTATTCATGGAATCATGGTTACAAAAACCCGATCTTGCTTGACTCAAGGTTCATGCATCAATTTGTAATGATGAAATGCAACATTAACTCAAATATACAACACGCGTTCATCTTTAAAGTACATTTATTATAACAGATACATATATTACACCCGTTCATGTATGAAAATGAAACTAAAATTATATATCGGACTGAAACATTTATAATAATTTACTACAAAAAAACAGTTTTAGAAGATCTTTATACTTATAGCTTTCAAGCTGCTGCCCGAACTAATCCTTTCTCGCATAGCGTTCTCGCGTACGATGTTGTTATCCGTTTACAAGGAAATATAGAAAATACTATACGAAAACGGATTTGTGCTGACAAAGATCCAGTATAACCCCCCCCCCCCTAAAATTATCACGTTTTGTGATTGGCTTTGTAAGATAAAAGTGATTAAAGTTTGTGACTCGTTCTTTAGTTTAGAAAATTCTTTTCAGCTGGCAAAAATTGTTGCCAATTTATGTACAATAGACTGTAAATTTCAAGGAGTCTAATTAACTCCAAAGGAGTCTTTCATGCAAGGAGTCTAATTAACTGTAATCGTTTTAGACCTTTTTGGTTACAGAAGAAAACGTTTTGAGTTGATTGAACTCCTTGAAATTTACAGTGTACACAGTTGAATTCACTTATATTGCCCTGGAAACGGTAAAAGGTAATCAAGACAAAAACTGAGCGGGCAAAGCGAAGCGAATAATGCAAAATACTAAATGTTTAGCGCTGGTCCTAACTGGTAGCTGTTTCATAGTGTATTTCAATTAAATAACGAGGCCGTTCCCTCTATATAGTGGCGGATTTGTGCAAACATCTGCTACTTGCGCTGGTCCATTTTCAACCACATGTGCACAATCTGCATGGACAGTTGGCCGTGTTCGCTCGTTCGCCAAGTTCGATGGTTCCCCTTGCTATTATGACTCTCCTTGATAGTCCAGGCAGCAAGTCCTAGTGATTCTTTTTTTATTCTTCTTTGCTTTCCCAGGCAAACTTTCGCACGTCCATGTAGCTCATTTTTGTCGGATGACATGTACTCCATCGTGAGAACATGTAAATCTGCAACCTTTGACACTCTTTCCTGGCTCCATTAACTTCATTAAGATGTTTGAATGTTCTTGCCAGTTTCTAAAAATGAACACAGATAATATTAGCAACATTATATTGTATAGCTACTTGAAAAAATGTTATCCTTCGAAAACCTTAAACTCTAAGCACGCAAAAAGTTGGGTTTAGAGCTTTTGATTTGGCAAATAATCCTATAGTACACTGCTATATAGTTGTACATTATAGTGCTTATGATCTATCTTGCCATAGTTACAATACAAAATCCGCAAGTTTTAGGCCTAAGGCAAAGCAAGATAGGGCGGTAAGCAAAATCTCGCCCACGCTGTGTAGTTATTTTTATAGTAAAAATTACTGCGCATTTATATAGACAAGCGGGCTGCCAGATTGCCGGGATCTTGCTCGAAAGAGGCGAGATCCCGCTTACTGGGATGGAAATTTCTGCATATAAACACTCACGAGCGGGCTATAGGCCGTTTCCCAAGATGAAAGTCCAATATAACGCTGCAAGCTATTTTTAACTTACTGTCAAAACATTAAATATATCGAACAGAATAACAAAATTGTCCCGGTAAGCGGGATGAATTTTTCTCATATAAACACAAGAGAAATTCATCCCGCATCTCGTACTGTCTGCAGGACAGTCTGGCTTGTATATATATACACTGGTATTTGTTTGAATAAAGTTATTATTATATAAACAGACTACGGAGGCATTACCGTATTGAGGCACTTGAACGTATGAAATTAATAATACTGGCAATTTTAAGAAGCAGGTAATAATCAGTTGCATATAATAAAATATAATTTAAAGACTAATTCGGTGAATCCATTGTGCCGTATTTAGCTAAAAAATACTGGACTCACTGGACTATACAGTATATATATATATATATATATATATATATATATATATATATATATATATATATATATATATATATATATATATATATATATATATATATATATATATATATATATATATATGTCATTGATTTTAAAAATGATTTCAAATTTGGAGCCAATATTTCAAATAAACTGCATGTATTTTTATAACGGTCAAATGGACAAAGTTTATTTTATATCCATATACTGTACAAAGCAATGATGCATTGCCTGACAATTGTAAACGGAAATATACACTGTATAAATAAACGTTTTACATGTACTTACACTGCAAGCCTTGCCCTTGGGCACCCTCTGTATATTTCCCCCCGTTTGTCTGAGTGTCTGACTCGACGTCTCCCAGAATAAGATCGAGCAATGATCCATCTTCTCGTTGAAATTCTTCAGGGCATTCTCACTCCTTGTAATTGTATTGGCCATTATTTTGTTCTCTAAGGAGCCTCTTTTCCTCTACGACATTTTGCAACAGCAAAACATACTGGTCTAGTCATTTCGAAATTACAGCTATAGCAATTGCAAGTATCGAACTGTGACTGTGTGACAGCTATATAAAGGCCAGACGTTTATTGTAAAAGCAACGGGAATTGGACTTCGAACTATTATTCACAGTAGGAATCTTTCGTAGTATCAGATTTCTTCTGTACACCAGGGAGGTCACCCACGTACAAATCAAATTCCCCTTCGTCCAAAAAACAGTGAGCAACTAATCAAAGTAAAAATTGGGCTTGTTAACATATAATTGAGTAATTCGCAAATTGATTCCATCCATAGTTCTTCTATGATCGTAAACGGCTTATGTTTACACCGTCAGATCGATGGAACAGACCCATATTGTGTCAAGGTTTATTACACAGCCTACAGGGGATTAGTTACCCGACGGGAAAAGTTTAAAATAGCGCGCGCGGGAATATAGCATTCAAAGTGTACCTACATAGAACTTCGCAGCGACAGTTTGATACAACAACCTTCAATTCTGTGAAGGTTTTGGTGGCATACCTTGCGCAAAGCCGGTTGAAATGGCGCATTTTAACCAGCATTCCACACAGCGAGTGGCGCACTTGTTACCAGTGGATGCGCAGCCTTCTGGAAGTTATAATCCCAGTGCCTCCAGAAGCTGAACAGAATTGTCAATTGTGAATTGTCTACCTGCAAAATAGCGACGTGTCAATACCAAATTACACCGACGAACGACGTCTTAAACGCCACAGACGTAATGAAAGTTTGTGCCGAGAAAAACGGCGTAAAGAGTTTGGAAATGCCAAACAAAGGCGTCTCACGAATAAAATAAAGAGTCAGATTGAGAACGAGACCAAGACCGTATACTCAGCTACGATCGAGAGCAGTGTATTATGACCTGTTATTTTATTGGAGAAAGTGGAAAGATGAAAGATCTTTGTGTACAACGACTAGCTGTATGTAAGTACATGTAGAAATTGTATGTAGTTCATATACAAAATAAAGAAATTGTCTGTCTGAAGCTAGATAGCTAAAAAATGATATACTCAGCTTCTGTGTTAGGTATTGCCTTCGGCGATAAAATTATATTTGTATATCTATATATGTCAATAGAATCAACTATCCAAGCGACTTGCCCTGTCTATATGAGCGCCTAAATTCAGGTGACAATATCGGCTAACAAACGTATAACATTTCACGTTTATACTGTAATATTCAGCATAGCTCTAATCCTGTTAAATTATCGACAGATATGTGTCAGGTTTTGTCTTCATTTAAGATAAAACTAAACTTGATTAAATGTTATTTCTGCCTTTAGTCAACATTTAAACTGTGCGTTAAAGGTCATTAAAGTATGTGCGGTTTAATGTTGGTTTTAACTCGCTTTAATATCCTCACAAAATGCAATTAAGTGTATCAGTTTCCAAAAGAGGTGTTTTATTCAGACTAAATGCGATTAAATGTAACTTTTTGTTTAACCACCTTTAGTCAGCTAATTAAAGGTGTAAACACACATTTAATATATTTAGAATCTTTGCTAAAGCTGATTAATGATACGCTTTTCGTCCTGTGAATTAAAAGTGATGTTGCCCATCCTTCCTCAATTATGCCGGAATGGAACCATAGCCATCCAGTGAATCCACTACGAGCCTGAAATTTCAAAGATATTCCTCCCGGTGCGGTTGACGGAATAAATTCCCTGTACGAAAGAGGCCCCACTCCTGCTCCGGCATACAGAGAGTACATGAGTGGTCTAAGGAATGCCTGCAAAGATGACCCGGAATTCCACCTGAAGAAAAATAGGGACCTACTGCCACAGCGATAAGAGTCCCTACAGCTTCCCGGAATAATCTACAGCTGAAATTAATTATGCGAAATAAGTAATTTGCGCTCGCAAGCTAATTTAGGTATAGTCACGTGATTGGAAATTCCGGTACCTACCAGCGGTGAAGCGGGCTACCCGCTCCTCCATATTCCACACGGGCTGCACTCCACACCAAGAAATGACGGCGCCATCCACTACCT